TGCTTCTAGTTCACTAATAAAAAACACCACGTGCGTAGATAACAAAAGGGCGATGGGAAGATTCTTTTTTTTATTACTTGCTAAATACTAATTCGTTACAATTCATCGTAGGAAGCTAACCTTTTATTTGTTTGTCTCACAAACAAAAGTAAAGATTATTTTCTTTTGTTCTCTACACATGGTAAAATTTTTAGTGACTTTGAAATTCAATAAGTAAATTCTTCGATGGCCTTCGGTAACACAACGCTTTAAATGAGTAGAAGTTAAGTTCGGGAAAGGAACTTTCCTAATTAGGTGTGTTTATCAGGTGCATTATTTTTATCATTATTTTGTAATAATATCATTAAATTTTGTCAAACATCTAAAACAATTTACTTATAAATAACTTCCGCTCTCGTTTTCGTGCGTTAATGTAACAAAATCTTGACTTGAATTCGAATTAATTGTCTACATTCTAAAATAACATCACAAAAGCCTTTTGTAACTTAACGGTCCTAAGCCCGTGAAAGTATGAAGGGAAAATTTGCAACTTATGTATTTTATCAATGACGCGGGGGGTGGCCTAGCGCGCATATCGAGTAGGCGGTCCACACGCGCGCAATTTTAAAAAAAATAATGCGCTGGCATATCTTAATTTTAGTATTGATTTACACTAAAAGGAAAATTTGCGCATGTTATATTTTCATTAAAGATCATAATATGAAAGTTAGGACGATGACTAAAAATTCATGCCCTAATACAGAGGCAGCTCCTTTCCTTTATTTTTTTCCACCTTCTAAGGAAATTTGTTAAAAATGTTTTCTAAGGACATTTCATTTCGAATAAAACTTCATCTCGACTGATATTAGAATTATTGAGGTCGAATCAAATTGTTTATTTTTTTTTTCAGAGATGTTCAAAATTTTAATATAATAATAAAATCGAATTCGATGCTAATATTATGCAATAATAACATTTTCACAGATAAGAAAATTTTTCTAAGAAAACAGTTTATCTTTATTGCTGGTCGTAATTTGCGGTTTTTGAACACATCATAGAGGGTTTATGATATGTGTGTAGATAAAGTTTTAAACTTGGTTCCATTTTATGATTTAAATTGTATTTAATAGCAGAAATATTATTTATATATTTATTGTAATTTTATTGCACAATATTTTTCAGATGGTAACGTCGGCCGTGGTAGCCTAAATAAATAAAAATACAAATTATAAAAATTTTGTTCTATTTTTTTGGGATGATATTAAATGTTTAACAAAACTGTTCTTTGGAAAAAACAATAACAAAATCTAGTTATTTTGCTAGCTTGTTGTTTTACCATGTGGTCCATTTAAAGATACAGTCCTTTCGATATCTAGTCGTTTTGCGATCTAGTCCTTATGCTGATCAGGTCATTTTGATGATAAGTATATCATAATGAGTACATTATGATACCAGATGTGTGTGAGTCAGATTAATAGTAAGTCGATTGTTGTAAACTTAATCAAAATGAATAGAAAGAAATTAGGACTGTGACGTGACGTTTTTATAGTAACTAATTCTAATTATTTTATTCAGTATGGGCGCAGGAGTACGTTTACTCGTACTACAAACAAAGAAAGCAAAAAGGCGAGCTACACCGAAATTACAGACGTTACTAATATAAATACTCGGACTATTGGATTCGGACTTTGTACAGGGGCAGCTTTCGTTTCGCAGCGAGTAAGTGCTGGAATGACCTTCCACCTCCAGTAAAAAACGCTAAAACGTTGTTTACTTTTAAAAACCGATGTAAGCAATGGCTCCTATCTGTACAAAAATCTAGTAACAACTGGTCCCCAATTAAAACTCCTAGCAGCACAAAATTTTAAAGTTTTGGTTAAATGTATGAAAAATATATATAATCTACACGGACAGCCATTAAATTTCAACTTATTACTAGTTTTTACTAAAGTTAGGTTATTACTTAGTGTACACTCCTATTAGCTTATATTAGCACTCATATTAGCTTGGGGCAGCAAGCGAACAGCTAGCCAGGTGAAGACTGAAAATCAGCAATGCTGAGTCTTTAATCTTTTTGTCCACATCACTCAATTGTTTTTTTTTCTATTCGTTTTTTAAGTATTGTGTTCTTTATGTTTTGTGGAGAAATAAATACCTTTTTATTTTATTTTTTATTTCTCAAAATATTTGTACATTTACAAAAAAAGGGGTGTGCCCCGAAACAGTAGAAAAAAATACTATAGTACAAAAATAAATATGAAAGTTTTAAAGAATAAACATTAGTTTTTAATACTACGAAGAGTACAAAGTGTAATCTTATTATTTCATTAATTATTTCAACTTTTTCATAACAATGTTTTTTACTCTTCACACAAATATAAAATTGCCGCTTCATAAAATGCGAAATGTCAAATTAAAAAGGTGCATGTTTTTGTGCTACAGACCTTGATTGAATGTAGTTTCTATATTAAAGCGATTTTATATGTGGTTTCATAGTAAAAATTTAAGTAATATGCCAAAAATAAAATGAGTCATACCGATTTACTTTTCTTTCGTTACGCTTAATTTCCACTTTCACTTAATTTCCGAATTCATCCGTTAAATTTTTGTTTGGCCACCACTAGAATCATCCTTATTGGCTGTTGGTTTGGCGTCCTCGGCCATATTTTTCATGAAAATCAGTCGCAAACGTGATGATCAATGTTTTCGTGACGTTAATAGAAAAGAACTTTTTCATGATAATGTGAGTCTTGATTTATTTATCCCTTCGTAATCATGTAAATTAAAAGTTTAATAAGCGTATTACATTTGTAATATCAGGTTATAACAAACCATTGGCATTCAAAAACTCGGTTATGATCATGTTTGTACTAGTATTTGGTAACATTTTTCGTTACATAACAGGACAAAGTTGAATGTACAGTTATTACCCGACTTCGACAATGCAAAAAAAAATGATTTTGGCAGTAGGCAGATATGTCAATATTATATTTTGCCAATGTATAATAAGCTTAATGTTAAATTTTCTTGTAGTATTTCGTAACGTGCTTTTCGTTACGTTCAATTATTTTGAGAAATAGTCATATAAATTAAAGTCAAAATCCGGATAAGTTCTATAATAACAATGGATGACCGTGGAAGCGTATGACTATAATATTTGCCAATATCCCACTCTAATTATGAACGAATTTTCTATTGTTTTTTTAATAGTTATTAATAATTATTGTATTTTTATGGTCAATATGTTTGGTATTCCATATTGGTGGTCTTTCTAAAACTGCTGAAATAATTTCGTCTGACGACATCTCTAAATTTGATCGATCGAAAAATAGGTATAAGACGCAACAAGACGACACTATGGCTCGTATTCCAGAACTTTACTCAATGTTCAAGTCAGGATTGCAATGGAAACAACCCCTCGAAATACGACCCTAATGGCAGGGACTTGAGTAAGATTTCGGGTGCTTTAAACCATACTCAAATCCTTACTTGAGCATTGAGTAGAGTTCTAGAATACGACCCTATGACTATTTGAATGCGCATTCACCGCTCAACTGGAGCGCGACCTCGTGCACCGCCGCCAACGTCGCTGCCGTCGAGAACAGCATGTACACTTACTCGAGGGCCACGAGCCGCGACGCTCCCAGCGAATTCGCTTGACGTTACAAGCGTCAATTACAAATATGTGATTTTATATACAAACGGCCTTAAACTAGCGCTGGAACTTGCAGCGAAATTCGCTAAGAGCGAATTTTGCACGAGCGTTACGCGCGTTTTTTGCGGGCGGCCAGAACAATTGTACGAGAAAGTTCCAGAGTGTGCACGAAACAATTGCTCCACGCGCCCTGACAAAAGCGGTCGTTACGCGCGTTAGCGTTTAAAACAAATTATTTTGTTTTTATTGCTTATCGCTTACCTAATTATGAATACAAAAGAATTTATAACGGCAGTACAAGATCGGCCTGCGATGCGGATAAGTTCACATAATCAATGAGTAAATGAACTTTCGACCTAGATTTAATATTTTAAGTTGACGAGTGGTAAGTTGTGAGGTGGAGGTACCAACTGCTCGGCTTTGTTTATCAATAATTGATTTCGTTTTTCTTCATACCGGGGACCGGCCTTAGTGGGAGACTGGTGGATTTTACAATTCACAACTGCTCGGATAATAATTATATTTAAGCAGCTTGTTAACGCTTCGACTGTTGCGTTATTTTCGTGGCTGAAACATTAGACATTTTGATCAAGTCGCGCAAGCCGCCACCAGCATCGCTGTCGCCACCGCGCCGCCACGCCCACTGTCGTCCAGTTTGTAGCCTAATCTTTACCTCCTCAGTCGCATGCACAGAGTCTATGCGACACGCATGTCATATTATAATCGTGCTGAGCGTGCGCGTTACCCTGCTGCATCGTTTACAATACAATCGCGAGTGATACTGGTGATATATGTTAACACTGGTTTGTTGACCGGCTCACAATCAATGGCTATTAATTAGACCATGGCCAATTTACGACGTATCAACCCCTATCGCCTTAACCCACTCCCCCTTTTTCGACCCCAGCTATTCTAAAATTCTACCATTCGGGCGCCGCCGGTCAGCCGTCGTGAACTACGTACGGACGCGAACGGAAATTCGCATGACGTAGACTTATTGGGGATGTGTGTCGTGCCGCTTTAGTACTAATTGATGCGAAACGTACGCCTTTTTCGCTCTTAAGTTCATGGACAGAAAGTTTTTCTGATTGGCTTAACGCATTTCTGCTTTGTTAAGTGTGGTGACTTCCTAAGCATGTGGAGGCGGTGCGAGATGTTAGGCGGCACGACTGGTCTATAAGCGCAGACTTCTTTGGATAACTTCAAGATGCCACATCTCAACATTTTAGTACAACATTTTAGTACTGAGTAACCAAAGATAATATGTAAATTTGGATGGAGACTAAAAATCATAATTGATAGCTGACAGTTGATTAATGATATCAGATAACGTAGTAATGTAGTGTCAATGTAAAAAAATACAAACTTGTCTTTCTTCTTTTTCTTTTTCTTATCATGGTCCGCGCCGACGGGCTGCGTCTGCTGGCCTAGCTCCTGCATCTTGCGATTGCGTTTGTATTGTTGCGTCTCTTCTAGGAAATTGCGGACTTTGTCCTCATAGTCACTGTCTTCTTTAGTCATCTCTAGGAACTTGCGAACCTGACAACATAAGAAATTTCGTGAGGAACATTAACGACGATCATTATGTCTCTAATACCAATGAACAATTTTTATATTATTTTGGGTATAATAAAATTTCATAAAGTTAGAACTAAAAGGTCAATCATTGGTTTTTGTCGCTGTACAATTTATTGATACAAACAATTGTGATAGGTGCCAAAATAGCAAGAATCGTTTCGATCACTGCCGGTTTTGGGATTCCTATAAAGATACCTTTAATTCATAGTCAATATCGGCCTGCGAGCGCGGCGGCGGCGGCGCAGGCTCCTCCTGTGGTGGCGGTGGTGGCTGGTACCCGTAGGGGTGGTTGAACTGCGAATTGTGCGTGCGCGACGTAGAATCGCCGTCACCTAACATCGCCATGCGCTTGCTCAGCGGTGACAGAGACCTCTGACGTTTGTTGTTCGATTGAGAGCGTCGTTTCTTCTTACGGTTGGGCCCTTCAGAGTCTGCGGGAGAAATATAAATAAAATAGATAGGACTGGTATAGAGTATTCTCCTCCGTGACGAAGTTGTCATGTCTCTTACAATACTGGTTTTGTCAAAATGTTGAACACGATGGTTGATCTCGCAAACTTCTAAAATTCTTCAAAAGAACTGTGTAATAAAAAAGTCTTACCACTGGTATCGGATGACGACGAAGATGACTCAGACGAAGAACTGGAGCTCGATGATTCACTCGTAGATGAAGAGGAACTGCTTGATCTCTTCTTCTTACCCTTGCCACGTTTCTTCTTCTTCTTCTTCTCTTTCTTCTCAGTCAAATTTAACAACTGTTTTAATGTCTCTTTCATCTCAAACGATTTAGCTCCAGTTAAACCAGGCAACAGCAACTCGGCTGGCTCAATCAAGGGTTTTGTTGTAGAAGTCTTACTCTTCAAGAAATCGAGAGAATTCTGAGCCTCCTCATGAAATGGTATGATAGCCAAACAGTCTTCATAAGCCTTCTGTGCTTCAGTAATTTTGTTTTCATCCTCGTAACTTCGACCCAGTGCTACTAACGTCTCCCCTAAATACTTTCGAGCATTTGCATGATTTGGATTTAGCTTCAATGATGTTTCAAAATCTTCTATAGCCTTTTTGAATGTTCCACTGTTAGCATAAAGAGCACCTCTCGCAACGAGACCTTCAACATTCCTCGGGTCGATGCTTAGTGCTTTGTTCAGGCATTGAAAGGCTTCAGAATGTCTACCAGCCTTGAAGTGCTCTATGCCTTCGGCGACAGAACGGAATGCCCACTTGCTAGCTTGAGCTTGGCGAAGTTCATCCGCGTATTCAGACTGCGAGAATCCTCCTCTGTTTAAACATACAATAAATATGAATTGAAATCTAATAGAAAAATGCTTTAATAAAATGTGTGGGACTGTAGTTGATAGTTCACTTACCGTAATGATGCAAAATTAGTGCAATGCATGTTGGCGATTCCAAGGATTTCAGATAGATATTGGACGCAGTTGGGATTATTGAAGCCAGGGCTCTTCTCCAAAATGGCTTCATAGCTCTCGCCCTTCATATCCACAGTTTTCCTGTGAGGAAAATAAATATATAAGACATCTGAATAGGTTATAAAACCATTTTACTGTCGTGTTTAATGAGATGAAGTCATTCCACTATTATATGAGATCTTGAAAATTTTATTTATTGAAAAGTTTCAAGCATTGAAATCCTATACAAAAGAGTCTGGTTAATGTCACACATACGTTATCCTCACCTGTTCCATTGAGCTGTTCAAAAAATTTATATTTTTATTTCTTTCACACACAAACAGAACATCATAGATTAGGTGATGCCATCTCGATAATGTGACATTAATATTACCAAAACGTCTCAGCTACAGTCACAATGTAATGCAGTAAATGTGACAGAGGTCTTGGAGGTCGTTGCTACACCTAGAAAAGAACACCCTAGAATGTGATGGGGGCCTCGTCATTATGGCCTCCGAGCCATGTCCAGGCGCACGCGCCGTCGCCGCGCTACTTTGCCAAATCACGCGCGAAATCGTGTCATCTCGCGGAGCCTCACATCAGCTAAACCAATAATTGCCGGTAGCTAGTCCTTTTTATTAGAAATTAATTACTCGAACATCCATAAACGCTGATTATAAAAATCCAATCTTAACCTTTCGAGTTAATGCTGGAATATTAAAATTAGCTTTAATACAGAATAACAAGTTTCCTTTTAGAGACATCAGATAGAAGTGACCCTAAAGTTTTGTACTGACCTTTTCAAATTTATACATAATATGTAAATTGTTTCAACATTACAAAGTCTGCACAATATCCTCAACATTATCTACATATGCCATATACTCTTCCAAGTACAGCTTACAAAGTACATCCTTGTTTGTATTCCAATAAGTGTGTCTTTCCCATATTGTCAATTTTAAACAATGTCATGCAATGCAATCATTTCACAAGTATGGTGATATGTGTGTTTTGTACTGAAAAGTGACCAGACACAAGTGAAAACATTTATTCACTTTGCTCTTCCATTGTTATGCAATAAAGTATACCTACCAAAGTGACACCACAATAATAAAGCAGTTGTGTAAATAGACAAACCACACTGCAGATCTTTTTGGTTAAAAGCACGGTATTATTTTTGTCATCAAATGTTGAATCTAATAAGAGCCAATATCAATTATCTTCAGTTGTTCCATTTCACATTTTTCCCATTTGTATTTTTTCCTTTTTTCTGATATGAATGTCTCTATTGTTTTGTATAACAATCCTCATCTTCATTTTATTGACACCAGATAATTTTCTTCTTCTTTACCAAAAATAAATACCACTGTCTTTAAGGCCTCAAGATCTTGATAAAATACTAGTACATAGGTAAATATGTAATAAATAATATTATATAGAAAACAATACGAATATTATATATAATAAAAGTGTTTATAAAAGGCCACCCTGTAAAAACTGTGTAACGTAGACTTGTGATTAGAAAGCAGTTATAATTTTGTGTACATACTTGTATATGAGGGGAAAGTCATCAGTGCTGAGGAGACCGAGAGGTGGCTTAGGAGGAGGGTCATCGGGACCCCGGGTCACTCCCTTCATGCCGCACACCATTTTATCCGTGTCAGGGATCACTTCAATGACTTCACAGCACACTGTGTCATTCATCAGGTAGTTTCTTGACACATTTTTCTTGTCCACTGCTGGTATGATATTTGTGACTGGTAAAAATGCCTGCAGAAAGAATTTTTCTTTTCAAACAGTACAATTAAAGTAAGCAAGCATATAGAATACATTGTCTCTTAATTACATACAATAAACTCACATATTTAAAACCTATCTTGGATTATATTTAATGAAAAAGAATAGACTGGAAGAATTTTTTTTTAAACTTGCAAATTTTAGATCAATTATAAAGCAAACTATGTTGTCTCTAAACCATAGAAAGACTGTAGAAATATATAAACATTTTATATTCAAAATGTTCAACTCAATGTTTTGTACTAAAAAATCATTTAAAAAGCTGAATTTGAGACGGGGCTGCAAGGCCAGCCACCTTAAACGTTGTAATTACAGGAAAACGGTTCAAGACTATCCATGAATTTTGAAGATATTTTGATTGGCATTCACAGATTTTGAAAAAATGGTACACTTAGCAAGATAAAAGGCAATTTATACAATTTTTTTTATGCCATTCAATCCAGTCTCTATTAAGGATCAATAGTCTCTATGGGACCAACTGAGGTAAGAGTACTCGAAATGTCAGAAATCACAAAAAACTTTTTACCATACATTTTGTAGGGACATATTTAGTAATTAGTTATTCTAGGTTAAGAAAATTTGAAAATATTATGTATTTCAAAATAAAAACAATAACAAAAAGCAAAATAACATAAAAAATGTAAGTGCTCGAATTGAACAAGCCTTCAAGCAAGCTTCCGCAAAGAACAATAAGCGGCTGAAATTTTACTTGGATGGATTCCATTGAGAATTACTGCAAGTGCATCTATCAATAGTTGAACACTGTTGTATTTTTTTATAAATTTCATTTAACTAATACATAATATGTTGTCAATTTATTAGTTTCCTTAACTACCTAGAATAACTGATTACTAAATATGTCCCTACAGAATGTATGGTAAAAAGTTTTTGCGATTTGACATTTTGAGTACTCTTACCTCAGTTGGTCGCATAGAGACCTATTGATCTTTAACAGAGACCGGATCGAATGGCATAAAAAAGTTTTGTAAAAATTGCCTTTTATCTTGCTTACTGTACCATTTTTTCAAAATCTGTGAATGTCAATAAAAATATCTTCGAAATTCATGGATAGTCTTCTAGAACCGTTTTCCTGTAACCAAAACAACTAAGGTGGCTGGCCTTACTGCCCCGTCTCAAATTTACGCCCTGTATAACTTGTGTATCCATTGCTAATTCTAAATTTAGGGGTCATTTTCATCCCATTAGAAAAGCAAATATCAATTTCAATTTTTAGTGATATTGATATGCTTGATTATAATTCATGACATTTAATCGATTATAATTTAAGCAAAATTAAAGAACAAATAATAATACACACATGGATATAGGGAACTAATTTCTCATTATAAAAAGTGCTAAATAGATACACAGAAATATATTTCCACCATAAAAAAACACACTTAATTTTTTTCGTCTTCCTCGTATTCACTTCATGCCCTTTCAGCTGATTTAAATTTCTTTGTTATTTCCAGAAACAAACATCAGGGCATTGTGTCCTACTAAGTATTAATATATTTTAAATTATAATTGTAAATTGAAGTCAGTTAAGTCAGTCATTGTCCCAATTACCAACAATTTCATTTAAACTACAAACAAAGCAAAAAAATAGCATATTGTATTGTAAGTTAGAACAAAAATAATCCTTAAGAAATTTTAGAGTACAAAGTTTAGGAACATAGCTCTACTTTCAAAACATTGTGCAATACCTTCACATTGATATCTGCAACATATCTAGATGTAGGCCCAGCCGTGCATAGTACTTTCAGCATCATCCCAGATGCCGTGCGATTGATGACAGCCCCTATTATCAGTTCTCCTGTCTTCACATTCTGTCAAATATTTTTTGATATAATAATAATAACTTTATTCACAGAACACTATACAAAATTACAATGTTAAACTATAGATCCCAAATATAATAGGCTATGGAATGTACTCTTCAAATAGATGAAGCTAACTTGCACAGGAAGGCTTCGTAAATAGATTGTAGTGGTTTCTCGATATGTAGCACCTTACCTCTTGGTAAAAGCAATGTACAAACCATTTGTAGAAGTGATGGATATTTCAACTAGTTCTTATATTCTTAATTTCAGGAGATTATATTACAAATTCAGACAAAGAAAAATTTGTTAGTTTATCTCTTCGCGAGCGCCCGTGTCTGTCTGTTGTGTGTATGTATAAATGCGATGTGTAATCAATAAATATTAGAACTATTTCATAAAGTAATATTTAGACATGTCACTGTTATTTAGTTACACATCTACTGCACACGGACATACAGTTTTGCTTTAACATGTTCTTTGGGTTTTGAATGCCAGATTCTCAAAATTACAAATGTCGCTGTCAGGAACAGACCTCTCTCCTCTTGGCGCACGAACTAATGTCCAGTAGTGGACGTTAGTCGTCTGAAATAAAGAAGCGACTTTCTGATGTTTTACTTATTTATTAAAAACAAAATGTAGTTTTCTTTAACTACTAAATATTAAGTTGCCTTTTGTTTATTTTAATGTGTGTAAACCTATTGAAGTGTCTAAGCTAATATTATAACTGTAAAATATGGACTGTAGTTGTCTGAGAATAAATGATTTTTGATTTGATTTGATTAACCAATTTGGAATTCTTAAAAAACTAATACATTTAAAAGTATGTGTACGTACTAATATATATAGCAATATAAGTTACCAAAAATACTTAATTGAAGTAGTAAAATTAGCAAGTTTCTTTATAATAGGAAGATCAGTTATGCAGTAGTTAAGAGGAAACTACATTTTGCTTTTATTTTTTTTTATATATTTATATATTTGCAATAAATAAATAAAAACAAAAATATGCAAAATAGGCGCCTTGACGTCGAGTTGCGGACACTAGCCCGTTACACCAAGTACCAAGTAAATAAATAAAACATCAGAACCTCGTTTAATTATTTCATATGTGTGACGTCAATTACTGGACATTAGTTCGTGCGTCAGGAGGAGAGACGCCTGTTCCTGACAGCGACATTTGGCATTTTGCGAATCTGGCATCCGAGGAGTCTGGCAATTTGAGAATCTGGCATTCTGAGAACCTGCCATTTTGCTAATCTGGCATTCTGCGAATCTGGCAGTCTGCTACTCTGACTTTCTGCCTGTTTGGCATTTTGCGTTTCTGGCACAAAGCTTCAAAACGGTTCTTTGCTGATCACGGTGTAGTCACCAAATGGCCGATCCTGCGTTATCGCGTGAACGCCGCCATCAAGTGTCTTAGCAGAATGGTATAGCGGCCACCACACAAAATTTCAATTTTACATGTTCCACCTTCCGAATGGAATTAATGTAAAAATGTCATTTTTGAGAAATACGGTTTTGAAACATATTTTTTAATTTTAATGATTTTTTTGCGATTGGTATTTATTGTAGTCATTCTTGCAAAAAATCATTAATAACCATATAGGCTCACTTGTCAAAATGTTGCATTATTCGAAGATTAATATTTTGCATGGTATTAATTTATTATTTTGGCAGGTCCCTACAGTTACGTCGTTATTCTTATAAAATGTTTATTAACTTTAAGAATACCAGAAGAACATGACATATAGTCAGAACATTAGCGTTAAAATAAATGTTAATTTTTAGATTGGTGGTTAATTATTACTTATATCAATTCTTCAATATACTTTGGTTTTAGTTTCTAATACTAGCAGTAACCATTAAGTATACATTTTCAGAGTTATGTTAATTTAACAGTAGAAAGTGCTTTCACCTAACAATAATAATAATATAAAAGTCATGATGCAATAGTAATTGTTTTAATACAAAACTTCAAAACTTATTAACAATCAAGTATATTTATCAAGTCTTCCTTTCCTGATGAAATTATGCAGTATGAAAATGTTTACAGAACAGAAAATAATATCTTCTCAAAATGTTCCTGAACAGAAGAGCATATAACTAATAATGATATTAATTTACTTTTTTAATTAATTTTATATTATTATATTAATTTGCTTTTACTCCTCTTATACATATTATATAAACCTAAACAACTATTTATAATATAATAATATATATATATGATATAACAATATATGGCTTATGATATAATGACACAAAACCCAGTTAAGTCAATGTTATTCTCTGAAATATGAAAAGAAAATGGCTCTGGTTATTACCAAAACATCATTGTAGCATGGTGATGCAACTCATGCTCTCCTATCCTCGTGTGCAATCTGGGTTCAACTGGGTCATGAGTCATTTGTGAATTATAGTCCCTCTCCAATTACACAACAACCCAACTTGCTCTAGCGGCAATATGGCAAATTACTTAATAGTCAATATTGTACACATTCAATCTGAATAGTTTCAAAGTTGTTTCCTATTATTGTTACTTATCAAAATTTTTGCATTTTCATCCTTGTTGTTCTATAGGTGCGATGTGCACAATGACATTGTATTGGATTAGAAATAGCTATGCATGTAGCTATTTGTAATTTTTATGTATAAAAGTAAATACTTACGTCAAAGAAATGCCGAAGCCTGGCTGATTTATCCACACTTAAGAAGGTCTCAAACGGTGGCATCAGGGCATACAAATCTGGAATGTAAAATGTTTGCTGCTAGGTAGATGGACAATAAATCTAACTTATGTTTTTAGATCATTGACTTACAAATAAATGGACGACGGGTCTAATACAAAAACCATGAAAAAAATGTCCCAAGTCAACCTATTTAAACGTAGTGACATGTAAAGGAATATGAAAAAGCTAAAACATTGAATTTAAATTGTAATGTCATCGCAGTACTGTCTAATTTTGCTTGCTTCGCTGTCAGTCAAACACGCTCTGACGCTCTGTATATTTAACACCCTATAAGTTCAGACACTTTTTAGCGCGAACCCGACGTCCATATAATTGTAAGTCAATGCTTTAGATTTATTTTCACTGTCCGTTTTAATTTACAACATTTTTGTATACAAGTTTGAAACGACCTTCAACATGACATACATTGATAGCTTGAAACTTATGAACAGCCACAAAGACCTCTACACTACAAAAACTACCTACCTTCTTTAAAGCGTCAAGTCCAACACTGACATTAATTAGATGCCATATAAATTACATTCAAATAATTACATTTTATGAAATAGTGCAACTATCAAATTGCAAATTACAGTCAGGCACCAATTGATAATTGTGGAATGAAATATGCGATCAAAATTATTGCCACACAATTTTTTTAGGGAAGATTAATGCTACACGATACATGGATATGGTACATGCTCTACAATAGGTATCCATAACTATTGTCTATTAGAGTAGATAACACTTACTGTCTTCCGGCGTAGTGGAGTCAGTACCTAAAGTAGACGACGACGGAGCTTCCTCCATCAAGGATGCGTCAAACAGCACATTAGCCTCTTTAGCTATGAACTGGTGTAGTCTTAACCTCCTGCCACGGTCCGCGAATGGAGCCTTGTGCCTTGTTTGGAACGCATTATAGTCCAAAGCTCCCACGCCAACTTTCGCTAAATCGTCCTCGCCGCGTTCGGCCTCCCAAGTTTTTTGTAATTGCTGTCCATGATAGTTAATGGATTGCGCCACCAACGACGCATCCAGGGTCGGCTCCATGTTCTGCACGAAATCAAAATATTAATACATCAATCCTGGTCAATTACGAACATTTAATACATTTACAGTATTTAATAAAAAGTGAAAATTGCCGGGTAGCCATTTTGTTTTATTTTTATCGCATTATATTCCGTTTGACCTGAGTGAGCAACTTATTTACCTCTGCAACTCTTCAGCACAGATTTAACTAAATAAATGAACCTCCGAATAAAATATACATGGGGAAACAAGACCCACTACTAGCACTAGTGAATTAACAAAAATTACACCACAACCACACCGAAAAAAGTAATAATTTTCAATGAATGATTTTTAAAATGGCGTCCACACTAGGGATGGGCGTTACAAGTCGTATATAGTTGTTGAATCTATATATTGTGGCCATATCGAATATCCGATATCGTGTATTTTAGAAATTATATATCGATATTGCTCCGCATCGCGTATTTTAAATCGTATTTTTTCCAAACTGTATACTGATATTGCTTCGTATCAAATATTGACTGAGTGGATATCGACGCGAAACCGTTTTTTTGTGCATTTTCGACACTGTATATTGTATGAAGGGAAGTTAATTTTTTGATGGAAATTATTGTATTTGTATTATTATATTATATTTGTATTATTATATTATTATTTATATTGTATCCAATTCCAATAATATATAGTTTACAAGCCGTGGTAGCATAATGGTTTGACCTACTGCCTCTCAAGCAGAAGGTCGTAGGTTCGAATCCGGGCTCGCACCTCTGAGTTTCTCGGAATTTATGTGCGAAATTTAATTTGAAATTTATCAAGAGCTTTAGGAAAGCATCGTGATGAAACCTGCTCCTCGAAGAAGGTTCACAATACTTGGAAAACGTGTGAAGTCCTCAACCCGCATTGGGCCAGCATGGCGGACTGTGGCCTAAACTCTTGTCTGAAAGGAAACCCGTGCCCAGCAGTGGAACGTACAACTGGGTTGATGATGATGATGATAGTTTTGAAATCTGATTCCGAATATCAGCAATGGCAATGTATCAATGCAGAGCGCACGCCGGCTGCAACAATGAATATATAGCTTCGAAAAATATATAGCTTCGAAAAGTTTCAGAAAATTTATAGCTATGAAATCCAATTTCGAATATCGATATATAGTTTCGATTAGATATTCAGAAAAAGCTATAATAACAACAACAACAAACACAATAACAAATTATGGACCAGTTCCGAAATAAATGATTATTATTTTTAATATTATTATTATATTGTACTCATACCTAATAATACCACACCATAGACAAAATTGTTCACACCCCAATAACTTTTTTTTAGGATTTTTTGTTTGGATATAAGTCCTTTGTGCCAACACCCACGCTATAGTATGGTCTATGAAAAGCGTCTTACATACTCGATGAGTCTACTGCTAATTTCCGAAAAATTTCAAGTATGTGAAAAATTTTCCGGATAATTCCCTGAAAATTTTGAAAAAATTGGAAATATATAATTTTGAGAACTCATATTATGTTCTACGTTTAGAAATATCTTTTGAAGTTTTATTTAGCGTGAATTATAAAATAAACTTGTCTAACTATAGTCGTCACCAAATAAGAGGACAAATTTGACAGCTAAAGAAGGTGATTATGTAACTTTGAATGCAATCAACGAAACAATAAACAAACAATTATTAGCATAATTGAGTTTAAAAAAAATACGTAAATTTTGTTGAAACATTAGATAATATGACAAAACATATTTGAAGTACTGTTTTCGCAAGAAATTCAAAATAAAATGCATTTTTGAGTTACTCGGAAACGTCTGAGAACAGTTACGTCCTCAATCTATTTTTTTAAATAATAGTGTTGTAAGCAATTAATCGCCGAATTTCACCGAGTCACTTCGATTTCTCGGAAAAAAAATTTAAAAAAAAGATTACAAAAATTATGTACATTATTTGAGATTGTTTGTTGTTGACATTGACGACTTCTACTTCTGGGGGTTCTCCGTCCGACATCCGTCCGAAACGATTATTGTCAAATAAGTAACGCTCGATCAAATTAAAAGACACATGATACGAATGAAGCTTCATACTTGACATTGTTTTTTTATTTGGTCGAGTAATACTTATTTGACAGTAATTGTTTCGGAAGGATGTCGGACAGAGAACGGGAGTAGATCGACTACGGAAATTTTTTCCATCCAAAAGGGGGCTTCACTATTTGGCATTGCAGGTCGTCTTGCCATTTGTCGCATAATGCAGGATTATGAATGTAGTCGCAGCGTGCAAGCTATCCTGTAAGCAAAGAATACATTGTATATGCCTGTAAGCCTGCGGGTTCTCGCATTGCAACGCGTCCTGCGAGATTCCATACGTGGGCCATACGCAGGATCGCAGGATAGTGTGTGAGCAGGCTCCTTCCTGCGCGGCAGACTGCTATGCATATGGGCCTTTAAAGGCTTGGACGGAGTTTAAAATTAAAATTTTAAATTAAATTTTATTCATAAATATATTAGTAGTCTATTATAGGTGTCGTATTTCAGAACTCTACTCAATGTCAAAATTTGAGTATGATTTAAAGCACTAAGCCTTGAAATTAGGGTCGTATTTCCAGTGCTTGAAACCATACTCCTACTGACTTGAGCATTGAGTAGAGTTCTGGAATACGACCTGATTCATTGTCTGTTTGTCAATTTTGTCATAGTAGTACTTAGAGGATGGAATACAGATTCGATACCGCGCTCAGGATCTCCTTGTAAATAGGTTGACATATATACTCTTATTTAGTTATGTAAATAGCACAGTAGGTAATATTTAGTTTAGTTTATTGTTCTTTTTATAGTGTTAGCTCCGTCAATAGAAATGACGATGACATTATGAATCACCAAAACAAACAATATTGACAAATGATAAGGTTTTGACGAATCGGGAGTCACGGTTGAAAGGTGTGAAGGTTAACACACGCGTGCGGACTGAATTTCGCTTTTAATTTCTCACTGAGAGTTTAAAATTGTCTCGTATTTTGTGTTGGTGGTGGTAAAAAAATAACATTGAGAGTTCCCTTATGTTCTGTGATTTCAGCGACGAGGCGGAGCCCCCTGATAGCGGGCCTCGTTCTCTATCTGTATCTCCATCCGTTAGTTCAATAGAGATCAACATCAATGGTCAAAAAAGCAAGCGCCCTGCTTGCGCGGACATTGATAGCTCCGCTAAAAAGACAAGACTCCCGCCGTCTGCGTCAGTACAACATACGTATATCCTGGAAGGAAACGAAAGTAACTCTGACTTGAAATACTCAAACAATGATGCTGGACCCTTTCTGGTCCATGTTTCTCGCACAGAGAGTGACTCCTCTGCTATCAAAAATTCAATGCGTGCTTTAAAAATCGCCCAAACAATCTACAATAGCAAAGTCTCGGGATTTTTAGAAATAACAAGCATTGGCAGGGACAAAGTATCAATTTACTTCCAAACACCACAGGATGCAAACAACTTTATTGAGAGTCCACTCCTTAATAATCAAAAACTTTCTGCTGTAATTCTCCGCTTCCACCTCACTCACAATGGTGTTGTTCGCCAGATCCCCTTGGAATGGTCCCTCGAGGAATTGATTCACTCCATCAAATGCCCCCCAGAGGTTAAAGTTTATTTAGCCTCATACCCTTTATAGGTAGGAGGCTAAATAAATGTATAATTGAAGGACAAGCCACTTGGGAGCCATCTGCCACTGTGGTATTGACATTTTTGGGACAGATCCTCCCGGAGAAAGTGTTTTGTTTTAATTTGTCTCTCCCAGTGGACCTATATGCTCTACCCATAATTCAATGTCACAAGTGCTCCCGCTTTGGACATGTTCGTGAACAATGCCGTTCTCATCCGCGCTGCTCCAGATGTGCCCAGAATCATGATGGCTCCTCCTGCACCATTCCAGATGATCTTGTCCAGAGTGTCTTGCCTTCTCTGTTCTGCCTTCCATAAAGCTATAGATTCAAGATGCCCTGAGCATGCCCGTCAAAAGCTAATCAAAAAAGTGATGGCTGAAGACAATATTGGTTACCTAGAAGCTTCCAGGCGATTCAGCTCTGTCCGGAAATCATATGCTGACATGGCATCTCCGACCCCGCGCCCGCTGACTCCCCCTCTCCCCGCTCCCCCCAAACAGTTAGGTCTCCTCCCTGTACCCCTGTCCGCCTACAGTTCCAGATTCCTTCCACATCTTATCATAAAACAACTATTACAGAAAGCCGCCGCAGACAAGAACAAACCCAAGGATATGACAGAAACTTACATAACCTCATAACATCCACGCCAAAATCCTTGCAACCTAATGGGTGTTCTCTCTTTAGGGACCCTTCAAATAATAATCATCCTTGTTCTACTAGTCCAAATGACAACCTGTCCGATATTATCTTAAAGGATGGAAAAAAAATAAAAGAAGATATTATAACTAATTTAATAATAAATGTACTTTCCAAATTCAATGACATCTTACCGTACAATGGCCTTGAAATTATTCAAGTATGATCTCAAAATTATTACAATCTCTTTTATCCAACAATGACATCAATTCTACAATGGAACGCCCGTAATATAAAAATTAAAAAACACGAGCTTATTTTTCTGATAAATAAATATCACCCGTAGTTTTTGGTATTTCCGAGACATGATTAAAACCGGGAGCCCTCTTCAGAGTTCCTGGCTATGCGTGCCTTCGGGATGACAGGAGTGATGGGTGGGCTGGATGCGCCTTATTAGTGAAAAGGAACGTCATATAACACAACTATCCATCCCATTACACTCCACAGGCCTCCATGTTATCGCTATTAGAGCGCAAAACAAATAATTTGTCTCTGTCTACATTCCCCATCCTAGCCTTGACCTCATCACAGAACTATCCGTGATCCTCTCATCTCTCCCTTCCCCCTAATTCTTTTAGGAGATTTCAATATGCGCCACTCGCTGTGGGGATCTCACATTTGCTACTCTCTATCCTCTGCTTTTCTCGATCTTCTGGACAGCACAAATTTATGTATAATTAATGATGGCTCTCCTACATGCAGAACTTCCCCCCTTCAAAATGCCAGCGCCCCTGACTTAACTTTAGTCTCTCCTAGTTTAGCCCCTTCTACCTCCTGGCTTGTTCTTATAAATTCCTTTGGAACCGATCACCTACCTATCTTAATTTCAGTAGGACACTCCCCACCTAGATTCACACCAGACTACCTTCCCTTACTTAAATAAAGGCTTAGGCAGGCTGATTGGGACATGTACTCCTTGGTCCTGAACAGCAAAATTGTAAACATGCAACCAGTTCAAGTAACCCCCTCAACCGTTTTGTCTATATATTCCGAGTTCATCTCATGTTTGCTGTCAGCCGCAGATGAAACTATCCCTTTGAAAAACTCTGCAAATAGTAAAATTTCCTCTCCCCTGTGGTGGGATTCGGAATGCTCTTCGTCAGTCAAGGGACGAAATCGAGCAGAACTTGATTTCGCATGTGACTTATCCTTTGAGAATTATTTAACTTTCCAAAAGATTTCCGTTCATATGAGAAGATTTCTGAGCAAAAAGAAATATCAGGGATGGCGTGCATTTTGCGAATCTCTGGAACCCCGCACTCGTCTATAGTCTGGAAGAGAATAAAATCCTTTCACAGATCTCAGACTGATCATAACAACATCTCGTCTAACGACCCGACACCCTGTCTTGTGGATTTTATTTCAAAATTATCCCCCCTTTTGTTCCTTCAGAAGCATCTGCCGCTGTAAACCTCTTCTTGTCAACTTCTGACGGTATGAATGACACCTTCTCTTTTGAAGAACTAAGCTGTGCTTTGGACCATTTAAGGGATTCGGCGCCGGGTGCGGACGGCATTCCCTATTCGTTTATTACCAGGTCCTCTAGACCCACCAAAAATTTATTTTTGAACGTTATAAACACAATTATTGAAGCCGGTATAGTCCCTATATCATGGAAAACCCAAATTATCATTCCAATCTTAAAACCTGGGAAAGATCCATCTAATTCAAACTCATGTCGACCTATCGCCCTATTAGTTGTTTTAGCTGAAATCATGGAACACCTAATAAAAAACCGTCTGGAATATTCATTCCACTATTCAGTGGAGAGCAAAAGATTGTTATCCAGAAGCCAGTTTGGCTTCCGAAAAGGCACGGGCACTATGGACAGCCTAAGCATTTTTACATCAGATGTTCGACTAGCCCTCTCCGAGGGAAAACACGTCATAGGTGTGTTCTTAGACATAACATCCGCTTATGATAATGTGAATCTTCCACTACTCAGGCAGAAGATGCTCAATCTGAGTATTTCTGTGAAGATGATCAATATCATCTGCAACATGTTTATGGGCCGCTCTATCGCAGTCCGTGTTAACGGTTCCACAACCCCCTCCCGTATGGTCTGGAACAGCTTGCCTCAAGGTTCCGTTCTTAGCCCTCTCCTTTACAACTTGTACACGTCTGAGACTGAAACAGAAATACACGTTAATGGGGAAAACATAGAATTGAGGGAAAATTGATTTGATGATTGACAGATGATTTTGGACTCAATATTATCTGGCATCCATCACCTCAACTATATTTGTCAAAAAGCTGAAACAGGCATAAATGTCCTACGTGCACTTTCTGGTGTTCGTTGGGGATCACATCCGTATAGTCAAAAGCTCCTGTACAACTCAATCATCAGAAGTCATTTTGATTATGGCGGCTTTCTTCTGGAACCATGCAACAAGATAGCCTTGGCTATGATGGACAGAATCCAGGCAAGATGCCTGAGAATAACCACAGGTGCCATGAAATCCTCACCAACAAACGCTCTTCAAGTCGAATTTTAGGAGACCCCTCTAAATCTACGTAGACAATTCCTTGCTAACAGATTCCTTTTCAAGATCTTTCAATTTTCTTCTCACTCTTTGATTCCCGTATTGCAATCCTTGTCGGAGATTATCCCTTCTACCAATTATTGGTCACACAAGAAACCTATCAACAGTACAATATCTTATCAACAGTTTTAACAAAATTTCCAATCTCCCACTCCCTATTTCCCAAAATTATATGAACCCGTTGTTTGAAACTAACTTTAAATGTATAACGTTCCGCACAACAGTCTATCTAAGTTTTGGAATCATGAAAGATACCCGGAGCAAACCAAATCTTCAACGATATAGTTGAGAGAGAATGGCATGATTGGACTACTGTTTATACCGACGCTTCAAAATTACACGAACATGGCGATTCGGGAGCCCCGTTTTGGTTCCCCAAGTTCAATGTCTTACTCAGTTTTAAATCCCCCTATCTGGAGCGACTATCGCAATACTCGAAGCCATTTCATATATTAAGTCCCATAAAAGTAATAAATGTTTGGTTTTCTCAGATTCACTAAGCTGGCTCCATGACATTATTAACCTACCGTTTCATTCCAAAGACGATTTCTTTATCACCCTCCAAACTAAGGAAGCTCTGTACCGATGTCACTGTGCGGGAATTGAGGTAACTCTGGCCTGGATTCCCGGGCACAGTGGGATCAGTGGCAACGAAGCAGTAGCCTTTGCAAAGGATGCAACAAGAATTAGCGTATGCAAATATCATAAGTGCTTTCCCAGAGATTTGCTCGCCATGACCAAACCCCAAATGCCTAGCCTCGTCGGAATTATGGCAGGAATCACGACAAACTGTTGGTAGACACTATGGTAACCTCCAACCAAATTTACCCACTAAACCTTGGTTTTTTTAAACGTCGCGATTTGCCTAAAACATCACTTCTACTTTACCATTATACGTTTGCGCTTAGGCCATATTTGCACCCCTGTATTTTTGCGTAAAATCAGAGTCTGATGGTCGTATTCCAGAACTTTACTCAATGCTCAAGTCAGGATTTGAGTATGGTTTAAAGCATTCAAAATCATACTCAAGTCCCTGCCATTAGAGTCGTATTTCCAGTGCTTGTGTTTTAATTGCAAACCTGACTTGAGCATTGAGTAGAGTTCTAGAATACGACCCTTTGATCACTCTCTGTGCGAGTGCGGCCTAGAAGACGGTACCTTGGAACACATTTTTTTAATTGCTCTAATATTGCTGTTTCACTTTATAATTTACTTCCTCCAAAATTCCCCCGCCCCATTAACATAAACAACCTCTCAACTTTAGAGTTCTCCCCCATATTGTTACTCTATGTAAATTTATCCACTTAAATAATATATATTTATAAATACATGTTACATGTTTGTGTTGTCTTTTGTTTTAGATTCTCAACTGAGTACCCCCGTGGACCTAAACCATACTCTAAGCCGTGGACCGTGGCAAAATCATCATTTCTCTTAATGATGGAACCATAAAAATAAAGAGTGAAGTGAAGTGAAGGATTTGACGTTAACATTTAATTTAGAATATTATCGAGATTTTCGTATCCTGGATAATTCATATTTTAAACTAAAGATTTTACACGGCTCTTACGGAAATACTGAAGACTTGAACTGAAGGATCTTACACTGAAGATTTAAATCGAAACATATGTACTGAAGAAAAAGAGAAACTAATGACTAGGCAGTATGGTCTCTGACCTTTGCCTGTTAATTTCATACGTAAGTTTCTCTCACGTTTCTCTGTCAGTTTGTGCTGTCAGTTTACTTGTTTAAATCACAGACTACTTAGTGAACTATAAATATAAATTAGTTACATTAATTCCACTAAAAGATGTTTGAAAGATATACTATTTGAGTTCTTTTCGTATAATTACCGCGCCTTGATTCTATAAAATAGTTTAACTTTATAATGGCTACTAATCCTAGTCTTGTATTGGAAAACGGTTTGAGCCTGCGGTAAGTGAAGTAACTTTTAGGTTTAGGAAAACAAAATAAAAATGTGAAAAAGGTGAGAAAAGTATATATATATCGTTGGTGAAAATCTAAACTTTTATAGGCAAGTGCTCACGACAGGCTCAGTTTTGCAAATCAACGAGGACTACGAGAATGCGGATTCTAATATGGAATTGGAGACGCCTAAGACAAAGCTTATCGATTTTATTGGGGAACCTGTAATGTCTTTTCAAGAATTGAAAAATAACTTGTATGAAGTAGACCCTGCTGGGCTTGTGAAGAAGAAAATTCTAGAAGAGGGGGGTGGTTTCCCGTTGGATAAAACTAATACAGTTTATATTGCATTTTCGGGATATTGGGAGAAGGAACAGGAGCCTTTCGATATTAGGAAACCTGATAGACCTCTGGTAAGCCTTATTTGTGACCTTGATCCTGCCTAGTCTATCATTTTACCACATTTTCATAGAACTAAATCAAGGAAGTCATGGAGGACTTTAGAATAAAAATTGTTGTATCATTAATTAATAATTAGAATGACCTTATCAGTTCTTAGGTTTTTGCGATTGTGTGTTGTGAGTGTTAGTGTTTCCAGATACGTGATTTAAATCCGGAAAAACAGTTTCAATTCCTAGAATGACCTTGTTCTCCTTTATTAAAAAAATAATATTACTTGTTTAAAATGTAGGCAATTATATTAGACCATGCTTAACTATCAGGGATCGGAATAGGTAGAGTTTTCTTCCCTAAACTTTGAGGAACATAGACAGAAAATGGAGACTGCCTTACGACAATATTTTTTAGGTCCTGGACCTGTTCGGGATTCAGGAAATCACTTTAGTACATTTAAAATTGACATAATTGGGGACAGGCAGGTACTCTACATTTATCTTAACTTTGTGACACAGTGGGTCGGATCAGCAATATTGCGGACATTGGATTTTTTTCACGAAACTTCTCTAAAAAAATGCCAATCGAGAGATCCTATTGTCATAAATAAAAATTGTCATATCACATTTTGCCATAAATTTAATAGTTTAGTAGGAATAAAATAAAATGTGTATTTTTTGTATGGGACCATACTTTTAGTGCCCCATCATTACGAAGTTTTAGTTGATCCAGTTTTGGAATCACTACAGTAATTATCTGACAAATTTTAATTTATATATTAATATATTTATATAAATTACCTGACTAATAACAAAACATCAGTATGAATTCGAAACAAAAGTTTTAATTTCCTACTGAAACAAATAAATACGAAAAACCAACCAATTTAGTTTTATTTCCCTATAAGTGAAGCAAAAGACTTTAATGTAAAACAGTTTTAGTTCGGAACCCTAAAAACTAATTATTTGTTATCAATGTATTCAAAATCCAATAAATAATTCGTGATTTTTAAAATTCCGAGATGAAAACATTGTAATTATCATCCACTCTATGTGTACTCCTTTGAGGTTTAGGTAAATGTACTCAATCTATTCCGATATTACTATTGTTTATATGTCGCACCTTTTTTTATTTTAAAGAAGGCTGGCAAAATGTGTTATGCATGCAGAAGTTTTCTGATTATGACATGAAAATCGACTCAGAAAGTTAAAACGTATACCTAGAATGTCTAGAACACGAAGAGTTGTTGCGATAGTTTTAGGATTCTGCAGGAAAATCCATAAAACAGAATGTTATTACTGATCTTATTAACTCTAATTAAATATATTAAGTAACTGTTTCCAGTTTGGCGGGAAATAGTCTTTTGTAAAATGTATACTTTTAGAAAAAAATGAATGATTTTTTTTTTGTAGGAATCGTAAATATTCTGAAAAATTGGTGTTGCAACAGCTCGTCGCAAAGTTAAGATAAATATAATCTAACCTACCTATCCCCAATAACGTCAACTTTTAATGTACTCAAGTGATTTTCCGAATCTCGAAAATATCCAGGACCCAAAAAAATTCTTGTAAGGCAGTCTCCATTTTCTGTCTATGTTCTTCGAAAAACCCTACCTATTCCAGTCGCTGCTAATTAATGTATAGAATCAATTTATGAGCAATTTTTGCCCATTTTCTGACGCGTATAAGTAGTGAATAGGTAGGCTTGGGCGCGCGTTTAGTGTGCTTATCTATAGAAGATAGGTCTAATAATACGTCTGTAGTGAGTCCAAGACTGGATCAATTAAGTATTGTAACGATGGGGCACTATAGGTATGGTCCCATACAAAAAATACACATTTTATTTTTTTCCCACTGAACTATTACATTTGTGGCAAAATGTAATATAACAATATTCATTTAGGATAATAAGATCCCTCGATTGGCATTTTTTTTAAAGAGGTATCGTGAAAAAAATCCTATATCCTTAATATCGCAGATCCGACCCACTGTGCGTAGCAAAGTTAAGATAAATATAGTGTACCTACCTGTCCCCAATTATGTAAATTTTTTATATTGTTAAGTGATTTCCCGAATCCCGAAAAGGGCTTGGACCTAAAAAATATTGTCGTAAGGAAGTCTCTATTTTCTGTCTATGTTCTTCGTAAAAACTCTACCTATTCCGATCCCTGTTAATTATAAAGTAGATAAGTATATGTAACTTGGTCCTTAAAAGTTGTTGGTTTGTGTCTATTTCTAAAAATTTTTTCCATTTTCAGATAGTAGACCTCAGTGATAGTGGATTATTACCAGGCTTGCAGATTGCAGTTGAGTCTATGCTTGTTGGTGAACTGTCTGTATTCTTGCTATCATATGAACTCATGTATGGAGAATTGGGTATTGTGCCAAGGATCAAACCTAAAGCTGACTGCATTTTCTATGTAAAACTGATTAAAAGCATTATCACTCCTACTGAAGAGTATGTATAAAATTGGTATATTATAATAATACATTTATTTCAAGTATCAATAGACTCATGTGTTAGTTTATACAAAGATGTGCACTTATTCATTGTTTGTAAAAATTAAAATTTAGTTATACATTTGGATGCATGTAGCCCAGCAGTGTCTAATATAGGGGCATTCATCCCCTATGACAAGGAGAGCGGAATTGGGGCTGCTATATAAGAATCCATTTTAGTCATTAATAATATATTAAATAAAAAATATTAAATTACTTATGCTCACATAAAGCTGCATGAGCTATGTAGCTATATAGCATGGATAGGATAGGATATCCTTTATCAGGAAGGCCCAACCAGAGGTTATAAAAACAGTCAGAGCCAGGTAAATCATTCAGTTTTTCAATGTTGTTGGCCTTGACACCGAACTGTAATTAGTGGTGATCCCAATAGATCAGCTGTTGATTGCAGTGATGAGGGGCTACAATGAAGCCACTGTAATAATAATAATTGCCAATGTCGGGGCTCTTCTATTTAACAAATTCAAATTTATGTTTTAGGTCACGGGGAGGCGAGTGCCTAAAATTGACATCCAAAATAATAATAATAGCCACTATTAGCTTGCTGTTGCTAATTTAACTACATACGTGGAAATAATTATTTGAGCAGTGTTTTAATAACCCAGTTAATTAATTATTAATTCGTTTAAAATTTTTATTAAATAAATAAAAAAATAAATAACGCACACACTCAACATAGCCCCGCACTAGGGAAACCCTGTGTCTCAGGTGCCATGGACACACACATAGACAACCACAAATTACACCCAAACTCACGAGAGAAATAAATGTAGGCCATACAAACATTTCTCCCGGCCTGGGAATCGAACCTGGGACCTCTGCGTGGCAGTCCGGCATGGTAACCGTTCGGCCATGGAGGCAGTTAGTCGGTTAAAAGGTTTAAAAGGTTATTGAATTGATATTCAATTATTTTTGTGAAATTACTCCACTAGTTTATTATAAATAATTATTAATCAGTTTCTTGGATAGTATTATTTATCATGTAACAATGAATTGTGATAAATAAAATAAAGAAACCTGCCAAAGTTGACATTTCTTGAATTTCTCTGGCAAAATTAATTTGATATAAAACTTCTTGAATGTCCACTGCAAAAGTCCTAGTTTGAGGATAGCATGCTTTCTAGAAATGATTTAGGGTCGTATTCCAGAACTCGACTCAATGCTCAAACCAGGACTTGAGTATGGTTTCAAGCAGAGTTTTTATTCCAGAACATTACTCAAGTGTAGAATCTGTACTCAGAGTTCACCTGAGTAATGTCAGAGGAAGTGACAGCTTGAGTCTTCATTTTGGACAGTGCTTGAGATTCGTTTCAGTTTTGCTGTTTCTTGAATGGTACACAACTGTAAAATCTTGTCTTGAGCGTTGTCAAAATCGGTATTAACTTGAGCGAGGTCCTGGTTGCGCTTGAGTACATAATGATAGGCGAAAAAATTTCAATTATTTAACTTTGACCAACTAGAATGTTATAATTTGAACTTCTAAGTTAAAATGTAGGTTGTTTCATAAACTAATTATAGATACTAATATTAAGTTGAAGGTTGGTAATTAAAAGTATAAAATAAATTTGCTTAATCCAATTTATTGTCACGGAAATGTGCGAGATTAAAAAAAAACGTAAGAAATGAAACTATTTCTTATGATCTAAATCGCGATTATTGTTTATTTTTCTAATGAACCTAACGATTCGGGCCCTTCACGGATCCCATTTTAATTTATTGCTATTTTCCTTATTATTATAAAACTAAATTGAGTAAAAATTCATATAGTTAAAAGAAAATAAAATATTTTGTAAAAATGTACATGGTGTAAATTGGAATGATGATTGGAAAATTAAAAATAAGGTATTTAAAAAAAACTTTTATAACTGTATTGAATAAAATATAACTTTTTTACTAAAAATTGACCTCAAAAGTTTGCTTATCGGCTTCTTTATTGGGATTACATTTATTTGCCAAGTTTTACTGAAATCGGTTAACGGAAAGTGCGCGATTCATTCCCAAGTTTACCACCCTTAGAGGTGAAATATTTTCTTCAAATTTAAATGAGAACAATACTAAGTTACTCTCTTTCCAACAATAATAATCTTGTAGTAACAAGCTTTGTTTTGTTGATAGGCATATATTGAGACAATAACAACGTTTCTTAAACATTGCACTCGTTTAAGAATTTCCAATAGTATTATCATAGTAATTTAGGAATTATAGCAATCATCGCCAGTGTCAGTTTTTCATATCCCGATCGGTCATCATAACAAGTAATTTTCATTTCCAGTAGTAAATTTCAGCGTAACCTACTTGATTTTAACAATGTTAAAGTTCTTCCTATATGAAAGGAACTTAGGCTAAATAGCCAAGTATTAATAGACAAATACGAATGAAAGAACGAAAATCGCATAGAACCATAGATAATCCCAACTCAAACTTGAGTATAGTTCAGCTGAGTGCTATTCAAGAATAAACAAAATTCTTTTTTTTTATAATCGTATTTTTAATAAGGCCTGCAACACTTGGGTGTCAATGTCGGCCTTGTGATATCAAGGCCGATATTGACACCCCATGTAGATTATATTATTCTCCTATATCGTGTCGCCTCGTAGTGAGAGACAAGACCTCATATGAGTATAGAGTTTTAGCCCTCTTTGTCACAAGACTTGAACCAATGTTTTAGCAATGCTTCGTTGATTGATGATCACGGCGATACTTGAGTCGAGTACTGAAATACGACATTCTAGGCTTTTAGACTTCCTTTTAGTGACATTAATTTAAATATGTTTTGTCACCTAATAAATAGAGCAGTATCTCTATTCTGTAAGTTTTGTTATAAATTGGAAGATATGCATTTGATGGTATATGATCATTATGTAGCTAAAAGACCAATTTCAATTGAGTCTATCTAGGAATATATACATATTGATACAGTACCAAGTACCCCAGAGGTCTACTGAACTCCATACTCCTATGCCTATATCCTGCCTCTCGTCATGAGTTGTCAAGTTCCATGGGAGTGTAAGAATTGGAATGAACTACAGTGATTGACAAATCCCACATTTTTCCCAGTGTTCCAAACAAAAATACTCAGTTACACATTGCAAGATTTATTTCTTATGTCAAATGTTTTTTTTTTCAGAAAGTTAAATTTAGCAGAACCTAACATTTTTCAAAGAGTATATCATGAAGTTAAACTCCTATATGGTTCAGGAGTAACATTGTACAAATCTAAAAGTTACTCTGCAGCTATACAGATATTCAGAAAAGCTATTTACATGTTACATAATTGTAGATTAGCTGATGAGGATGAGGAAATGCTGCAGGAAAAAATGCTCAAGAAATTATACATTAATTTGGCGGTATGTTACAATATAACCAAACAGCCATTGAAGGCCTGTGTTTCTTGCAATGAACTAAATAGGTTAGGTAGTCTATGGAACAATGCCAAAGTGTTACTTCAAAATGCAAAGGCCCTCAGGATGATAGGCCAGTTTGAACCAGCTTTAAAAAAACTTCGAAAAGCTAAAAGTTTATGTCCACATAAAAAAGAAATTGATGCAGAATTTGAACTGTTACAAAGAATGCAGAAAAGCTGTGATAAATCAAAACTACTCATTGAAAGAATAGTGGGACCCTCTAAAGACTTAGTCAGTGAGGATTTCAAGAACGAAGTTGACAATTTAATAAAGAACTTTAAAGAAAATGCTGATTTGTGCAAATTAGTCCTCCCAGGAAATTTGAATTTGGCAGAGACTGAGTATATAAAAGAAGCATGTGTAAGAGAAAATGTATTTTTCAATAAGATTCATAAGGATTTTGCCTTGGACAAAGATGAGGTAAAATCAAGTCAAAGCAAAAGTGATGATTCTCCAGACTATGATATTTATGGAGAGGAAGTGTTTAATTGAGATAGTACGTTATGGTTTGTTGATTATCAATTAGATAAAAAAAATCATATATTTTGCTGTCAGGTTACTTGTATTTTACTGAATACTGTCGATCTTACCTACAGAGTATAAGCATAGTGTATAATAAGAACAAGTAGGCCCTGTTTGGCGCGTATATGCCTACTCTTCGCTCGGAGCGGATAATTTATTATTATTATTCTAGTTGATACCTACAGATTGTAAACATAATTTGAAAAAATTTAGGTGTTCATAGCTGTATTCTCGGGCTATATTGAAATAACCTTTTTAAAATGCAGTAATATGTTTACGTATTTCTATCTTTATCTACACCCATATCATTAACTCTATAATGTGTTCAAAAACCGCAAATTACTGCCAGCATAAAGCTTTTTAACGTTGTCACATTGTTAGAACAAATTTCTTATATTCGATGTTATTATTACATTAAAATTTCGAACATATCTGAAAAACAAAACAGTTTGATTGATCCCTCATTTCTAATATCAGTCGAGATCTTAGAGGATGGAAAAAAATTTCCATAGTCTAAGGTCGAGATGAAGTTATAATCGAAATGAAATGTCAATAGCAAACAATTTCGACAATTTCACGTTTATTTTACTTCATATCGAATTGATATTTATCCTATACATGATATTGTATACTAAATCTATGTTTATATCAAGCAAGGATATGCTAGTTAGGGCCGATTTTAGTTTGTCTATGAATTAAAAATAAAAACTACGGTTGTGTGACACGCGTGAGAAAAGTTTTTATTTGCCACCATTTCGCCAGTCATCACAGAGAGCTTATGCGTGTAGTTATAGCAGTGTATGTAACTGTACATAATTAAGCATTAAAACACTCGTGAAATGTTTTTCGTATAACCCTCGCTCGTATTTCAATGCCTTTCATTAGTTAACAGTCACATAAACTACTATTATACAATCATCGCAGATTAGCATCTTAAATTATGTAGTTTTATTTTTTATAATGCCAAGTGACGGGACGAACAAGTCGTGCACCTCTATCCATCCATAGCAGTTGCAGTGCCACTCAGAGGTTCAAATCGCAAAGATCTTAGGGGCACTGCCACTGTGCCCGTCACCCTGAGACATAAGGTGACAAGTCTAATGTGCGTTTCCTTTAGAGGAAAGGCCATCCCCCGTACTGTCGCATTTAAAATAAAAACACTGTATATTATTTATTTTGAAAGACTATTAGAAAGCAAATGGTGTTACGACGTGCGGCCACAGTAATGGCGCATTTACACTGGGTCATTTTTCGCCATCGGCGGACTGCTTCGTTAAGTCGCCTCGCCGTTTATCCGAGTAGTCTGCCGCTTTCGCTTACTAAGTCCATATCGCAGTGAGACGAGAAATATCTATGGCAAAAAAGAATAACCCTCTCTATCTCGCGCCATCGTGATAGCCCTACTGGTGTAAATGCAACATAACGTGCGGCTGACACAACTTATAAAACCCGTTTAATATAAAGAGTGCTGACAAGAACATTCCAACCATTAACAAAATCTTAGATAAATAAATTTAAAAAGTATAAAATTAATTTTCATGACGTAGATTTAATTGGTCCATTGAAAAAATAAAACAATATAAGGTATGTTAACATAAAACAAGACCTTCAACAAAAGTATAGTTTAATGGATCTCGCGCCATCGTGATAGCTCTACTGGTGTAAATTGCAACATAACGTGCGGCTGACACAACTTATAAAACCCGTTTAATATGTAGAGTGCTGACAAGAACATTCCAACCATTAACAAAATCTTAGATAATTAAATTTAAAAAAGTATAAAATTAATTTTCATGACGTAGATTTAATTGGTCCATTGAAAAAATAAAATAATATAAGGTAGGTTAATATAAAACGACTTTCAACAAAAGTATAGTTTAATGGCGTAATTACAATTTTTCATAAAACTAATAAATGACTACAATACAATCTATCGGCGGAAACAGCAGAAAGTCTCATCAAAATGCAACATTGTTATAATATATGTGTAAGTTAAAATGCAATTTCACAGAGCCAACACCTATTTTAACACTGTAATTAAACCGTATATTCAGTTTATGATTTTTATTATGTAAATTAATTTTGCAGATGCGTACTAAAGGTTTGTTTAGTTTTGCGTGGGAAGGTTTAGCAATACGTTTTGTCCTTGAGGTAGGTAGGTGACGTTGCGAGACTTGGAGAGCTGGTACGCGATGTCTTCGGCTGCCTCGATACGACGCAACTCCACGAGACCTTCACCAGCACTGCCGAATGACTTAGCGAGAAGTACGGCCGCCTGCAATGCAAATACAAATATAATTTTGTAACAATTATTTTTTATTTAAAATATTATGATTGCATAATTCTATAAGGTGGATAGTACCCAATTCTGTGATGTGTATGTTGCTGTTTGCGTGTGTTAAATGTAGCTAAGAAATAATTGAAAGCTAGATCTCTTTTAACAGTAAAAGCTATAGCCTAATTCAGACTTGGCTGCAGTATTTGTTTTAGTAAAATACAAACTGTACAAAGTAACCAGTAACCACAACTATGCCAATACAATGACTCTATAGACCTTACAGTTAACATTATAACGTTGAAGATCAAATTTACCTGCGCGTCACCCTCAGCAGCTATAACAGCAGCCTTTTTCTGCTGTTCAGCCTTTTCTACCAGGAAACGCGCCTTTTCAGCGTCCTGCTGAGCCACTTGCTTTAATTCGACGGCTTGTGTGAACTCCTTGCCGAAGGTCAGATGTGTGATTGAGATGTCATCAAGGATGAGACCGAACTGGCCAGCTCGCTCTGTCAAGCCTTCACTTACTTTTTGTGAGACTACCTGAAATGAGAAATGGATTATAATTTAAAGTTCTTCATTTTTTTTATTTTATTTTCGTACATTTCCTGATATCTGGAACCATAATGTTTTGTCTCAGTTTACTTTCATCAACTATGTTGGTATGAAATAAGTTTATTGCAGACTTTTATGCGTTAATTACTCTTACCAACAAAATTCAAAATAAGTATAATATGAAAAATGCATACCAATAATTTAATAAATTTCTTGAAAAATATCACCTGTTAGACGAAAATCTAAATAGATAGATTTTCGTCTTGCTGACAGAAACGCTCGACTACCCTAGCTAAGAGTACTAGAATGTCTTAGAAATAAACATTATGCCATATGTTTGTTATTGCACATGTCCAGAGATTAGGAGTCTCACATCCAATGTTATGAAACAAGTTACATGAAATGGTCATTCTTGGTAATGCTCTCAATTGGTTAAAAATCATACCTAAAAAATAGACAACAGTATACAACACAGAAGAAAAAAACAATGGAAGTGCCTTAAGCCTCGATTACTATCAGAACCGCTGTCGCCAAAACGTAAACATTCATAATTTGAAAAACTAAGAAATTTTGACATTGGTTATAATAAATTCTGCACTGTTAATATAATTTAAACTTTACTCTGTTGGCATATCGTTGAAAGTTAAATACTATCATTGTTATCTATTGTTACAAGTTATGTTTCGTGATTTTATATTGAAATTTCAATCAATGTGCTGCCGTCTAGTGGCAATGTAATAGTAAAGTTGAACGACGACAAAATCGAGATGTTTCCTTAGTTTTCCAAAAAACGACCGTACTGCGGCGATATAAGGTTTACTTTCGTTTCTTGTAACAAAAAAGTGATTGATTACCCTAAATAGAAAATTGATTAAAATAAAATAAGACTTAATGGAGATGATACGAAACAATACCATAGATAATATTACAAGTGCGTATAATTTTTATGCTCCAAGTAGCGCAATAAAGGTTTTGCGCGAGATTATTGATACGACCATAACGTACAAAGCGAAAATAGTGGACTGAGCTCTAGTATGCAAACTCCACGAATTGGTGGCACACGAGTCACGCAAAGTAAGCACTTCTATTGTATTTATTGTTCTGTGAAAAATAGGAAATCTTCATGATTCAGGTAACTACAAAACATACATTCAAAATGTCAAACTGTCCACTCTGGTGTAGAATGTGTTGTTGACAGAGAAGGATGGCGAAAGCTGCCCCAATAACGACGAAGAGCCGTTCATGGACTTTGCTAGTATAATTTTGCGTTTTTGCTTATGCCTAGTTAATAATATATTTTTGAATTTTTTTAGAAGTCGTGAATAAAAAAATTGTATTTTAGAATAGATGCAACAACACAACGCAATTGATTTAGTTCGACCATAGATTAGGTAACGTTCTTGTAAGTACGTCTCATTTTAAGCATGATTTAATGTTTATCTACCTGAAGTATTGGTTATTTTATAGTACACACATAAAACATTAAAGCTATAAAATACCTAATTAAATAATCAATTAAACAGTAACGACATAAAGCATAAAATAAAACGAGTGACAAAAATGTTTAGACAATATACAGGGTGATTGGTAACTCGATACATTCCTTTTAAGGGGTGAAAGTAGACCTAATTTGAAGCAAATTAAGTCAAGTTATACCCTGTCCGAAAATTAGTAGTTTCGAAGATATTGAAGATTTAAATTTTTCTTTAAAAAATCCCGATCCTCAGCTTTGTTATTTTTTTGAAATTTTATTTCTGTCCGTTTCTGGTTTGTTTTCATTTTATCTAGTAGTTATTGAATTAAAGTTATTGTTTAATAGCAATAGAGTACGAAATAACTGTTAAATTTGCCATAGTGGTTCAAAAATGATGAGAACTACCGAAAAAGAAACAACAATTTATTTATTAAAAGGAGTGCCTTGTAAAAAAATTATATGGAACGATGTGTACAAATTAATTACTTTGTAGTAGATGGCAGCCTAGCTCCATAAAAACAAACATCCATACATTATGTGTAATTCTTAGCGGTAGTTGGGTAATAAATGAAAAGCATGTAATGGCAGCAAAAAATTGTATGTTTCAAGACATTTAGTACAAATTACTCTACTTATTGTTTTGCAACCCTCTCCCGCATCTTTTGTTCTCTATTTGTTTGAGGAAATGCTTTTCACCATCATATCGCACCCCTGGCAAAACTTTCCTCCAAAAAGGATGTCCTCCAATCTCTGGTGTAGTGCCATATTCTTCAGATTGAGAGTGCGATTTCTTTCCGGAAATCTAACTGTGATACATTTTTGCCAGACATCTTCATCAAGATCCAAAAGTTATTTATGGGTACATCTATGAACCACGTGAACATCGGCCACAACCATTTTTTACCACGAATCCCAATCCTGTAATTGTTATACACCAGAGTATTCCGTATAATATAACATTAACCCTGTACCAACACGATTTTTTTACTAGGTAATTTATTGTTCCCTGATACTACTAAAATGGCCAGAAAATACTTTAGCTCATGACATATGATTTTGGGGTCAGGTAGAAAATTGTTTTTTTCCAAGCATGATTTGAGATTTTGCGTCTTTTATTGGAAGGGCCGGAGGTATCCACCGGCTCCAGAGATGTAACTCGAAGCTCGACCGGCGCTCGAACGCGTCGACCTGATAGGGTTTCCACATAGGTAGAGTCCTCGTCTTCATTCGCAGAATGTTGGTCGGTAAATTCTGCCACGTCCGATGGTTCTATGTACACATCTGGAATGTGGATATCTTCACTGTTTCAAGTTGATCAACTACTTCAGCCAAAGTCTAAAGTAAACTCAAACAATAAACTGTAAAATTGTGAAAAAATGTACTTGAACCAGACTAGCGTTGCTAAATGGCAACGGTAATGAAACTGTAATAATATATATATAAAATAATAGTATGTAATTTTGAACAATACTGTTTTTATTTCTCACGCTACTATATGTCAAAGGTGACAAAAATAATATGTTCATAAATTATAACACTTTAACATATTAATAATAAAAGAAAATCTTACTTACATTTCTTGGTGTGCCATTTCTCCGACTTTTCCAACAAAGTTTTAAATACCGACAAAATAATAAAAAAATTAAAGTCAAATTATATTTTTCAAATTCGTAAATGTGCTTGGATACACATTAAAACGAAATAAATAATAAAAGTTGTTGTTTTAAATAATTTATATTTTTTGAATGCTGTGTTGCCATACGGGATGTCGCCATGTGAGGAAGTGACATTTGCTTTTTTAATGTTAGAGCTAGAACTATCATTGAATGTCATTATGTTAAACTTTTACAACTAAATTGCTGACCTCTCTCTGTGTGATAAGTTCTCCAGCGTCAAATTGTGCGACTACAGCCTTTAAGACTTCAGATGTGATAGACGGTAGCACTCTCTCATCATAGTCAACTCCCAGGATTGTGTAGATCTTGGGCAGCTGATCAGGTACCGGTCTGAATAGGATACGGAGTGTGATATTTACATTCTGGAGATCTGGAATATAAGTTTAGTTTTTTATTAACATGAATTTATTATTGATTCAAAATTATTATATATTATTATTATATTAATTATAAAATTAGAATTAGTGATTCAAAAAGATTATAACTTTTGTAAATATTTAATTTTTTATTATGCTTTATGTTAGTCTAGTTTCTCTTTTGTGTGTTGAAATGATACACATGTTATTAGTGAGTCATTGCGGTTTTGTAATTATCTATACTAGCAAATAAATATATGTAAAGCTAAAAAGTCATGACAAGTGAAGAAGTTTCCCTTTAAACTTTGGATTTAACGTCATCTCTGTTCATTTTTATTTATGAAGAAATAGGTACAAAGAAATCTTAAATTTAGGCTTTGATTTGTCTTTACACCGGCACTCAAAAAGGTAGTCAAGTACATAAAAATCAAATATACAGCTTACAATATGCTATGTTGCTCTATTATAGTTCATAATCTAAAATGTAATGGCAAATGTAATCATAAATAAGGCTGTGCATGATACACACCCTTGCTTCCTGTGACAGTGGGGACATTTCTGGGTCGCGATCTTATATCAAACATGATGGGTCTCTGTACCCAGGGTATGAAGAAATGTGTTCCTTCACCAACAACAAGGTTCTTAACGCCAGCAAATCTGTCAAAGATAACTGCTCTGTGACCACCATCAACTGAAAATTAAAGAAACAATATTTTTGTAAGGATTTTTAAAGATTACTATAACCATATTTACTTATAGTTATAGTATAGATAAGTTAGTCTGTCTTTTTTGAAGACGGAGTAAAATGACATTTGTAGGGTTGCCAGTTTTCATAGAATTTTAAATAGTTATGTAGTTGTTATAGATAGATTGCGAAAGATGATAAAATTTTGGCAAAAATGACTGAATTATGAATGTTACGACATTCTAATGATTACTAATTATATTATTGCCTTTGCTTTCCTATTTTGACAGCTGGCTTGCTAGTATTGAGATCAATTTACATTCATATGCGGTTTAACAAGAGTGGCCAGATTTGATTATCTATGTTGAGTTAAAGTGAAAAACTTTTAAATATGTCTCCTCTTTGCACTTTTGACAATTGACAATTCAAATGAACTCGTGCCCAGTAATGGGATGAATAATGTGTTGAGGATATATATCGCATAAGAGTGATCAATATTAAGTCGAAAGTCGACAGAATATTTATCAACTGCAATCACTAACTGCTCGCAAGCGGGCAACACTTTTGCGCAATGAACTGTCATTTTACTCTGTCTTCTTAAATACAGACTATGTAGTGTAGACACTAAATAAAATAAAAAGTTGATAACTGCTAATTCCTTTGAATATGTTGTTACTATAACTTTTAAACAGTTCACTAGTTGTGAAGATTGTAATTGTTACCATTGTATAATGCAGAGTTGACTACACCACCAACAAGAGCGACTCCAAGACCAACCTGCCCAATGCGGTTGAAGAGATGAGCAGCCATTGCTGTAAAGAAAAATTTGAATATGTTCAAGAATTTTTATTTGATTTTGTGTATTCAGATAAGCTATGTATGGTGCAAGCACCTGCAAAAGTCTTGTAAAATAATAGTGATGCCTCATGTATCAGTGTGGCAGAGTTCATATGAACTCACAAAACAAACAATGTACATTTCAAAAATTACCACACCTGGAATGCTTCCATTGCTGCCTCTGTGTGGCCAGAGCCTAAGGGTGTGTGACAAGTATCAATAATGAATGCTATTTTAGCTTTAAAAAGTAAATGTAAATTGATTTTCTAAACTGCTTACTCACATTTTGACATTTCATTATTTTTTAAATACAGTAATGTTTGTATGTTGCCTCGAATAATTTATCCAATCTGATCATCAACTGCTAAATCTGCTTCAAAAATGGACATAGTTAAGCAAACAAGAACCAACCCACACCTCGAGTGAAATTGAGTTATGTATTTAGGTAGAATACCAGATGTGTCCTTTACCCTCTCACAAAAGATCCTGGCAATATATCAAGCCAAAACGGAGAAAATAAAAGTCCTTCAGAGTACCAACCCTAAATAAGTAACTTTTTAATAGCTGAAAAGAACCATCCTGCTTAACTTCATATAATGTATTTTTAAAATATGCTAAATGGATCCATGTCACATGCACTGAAGTACTGTAGATCTTTAGCGTTTTCATTACGAAAACTAGAACATGTTTCTCGTTAATTAAATAAAAAAGATAAATGTTTTCTATTTATTGCTATATAATAGTTTCCCTATATCATTCTCAATGCTACACATAACTCACGTTATTTGTCTTAAATAACTTACCTATTTATTTATCCACACTGTTTTGACAAAAATCTAATTATCTCAAAAGTGACATTTTGTGGGTTGCTTCTAGTTTGCATAACTATGTCCAAATATGTTTCAGATGCACAGATCTAAACACAATGCGATAAATTCATTCAATAAGACTAGACGAAATGAGAATCTAAATTTATCAGTTTTTGTGTCGAAGCTCCTAAAATATGAAAACAGAATTGTATTTTGTTAGAAAGGGATGGAGCATGTTGATTGTTAACCACATTGATAATAATAATATAATAATATCTTTATTTATCTCCATAATACAAAACAAAGTAACAGTATAGTAGAGAACATATTATTACATATGCTTAGAGTAATGTATTGTGGGAAACTGGAGCCCAAACTAAGCAGAGCTTGTTATATGGGTCTCCAGGCACCCAACCCTTAGGATGTCATGTTGGTGGTATAAAATTGATGTTTGAATTATAAAAACAATTCAGACAAATAACCTACGTGAAATGTAATAACATATTTTCTGAATTGTTTCATTACCATTACCCCAACTACACTCTACAAAATCCTTGTATAAGATTTTTCTAGAAGAATAAAGCTGCCAATCTATCTGTGGTCAATGAAGAGAGAATAGTATATTCTTAAGTGAGAATTTAACTCAGTATGAAACTGTGTGTAGAGATAATGAACGATCTTAGCTTAGGCGACCTTGTGAATGGTCATAAAAACATATCACTCTATTGTGACCAACTCTAAAGGTTTAAACATTTTATCTTAAAATAATACTAATATTTACAGCAAATAAATTTTCATAACAAAAACGTAAGGACTTCTTGCATTTGTTACAAAATAAGAAATAACATTATGAGAAACATGTGAAAAGCGGCGAATTGTTACAAAAAATCAGAAGGCGTTGAGTCATATTTTTAGGAAGCCTTTTCCAGAGTTATTTGGCAATTAAATACAGAGTTAAGGTTTATTTGAGTACATTTTGTTAGGTTTAGAAATAAAAATGCTTAGAAAACAGTGGAAATGCAAAAGAACCGCACGATTATATTATCTAACCTAAAAATTGTGACACTCCGTAAGTACAGATGAATTGTACCACAAAATCATTACTATAAAAGAAATTCACGTTTACCTTGTTAATAAAACGTACTGTCACTAAATTTTATCAGTCTTAATTTTATTGTAATTATTGTGTAAGCGGTAAAAAACCCTCACGATCGTGGAGAAAGAGCACAGACTATAAAAAAAAGGTATTTAAATTACGTTCTGTTTCAAGCATAGGGAGCGTAAAAGTCAATGAGTATTTTGTCGTTTTGTTAATTTTAATGTGAAATACTTCCGAAATTTAAAAATTATCTAGTCCTTATGGTAAATTTTTCTCTTTTGCATTTTTAAAATTTTTCAATATATTAATTTTTGGTAATTGTGATTTGCAGAAATACAACTACACGATATGAACTGTGATTTGTTTTTCCGCCTGTTGATTTTTGTATGGCAATCAAAACCGAGTGTAAAAACGCTAAAAGTGGCTAGTGACAGGCGTTAATTTGAAACTATCTACTAAGAACTAAATGTGATCTACGTGTATAGATCACAAAGTTGTAAATTCCAGTGATTAAGCAAACTGACAGTTACTGATTATGCGAGTACTAAGTAGGCAGACAGTCAAATTGCAAAGTTCTTGTGCACACACGACACTATTAGTGAAATCGGCAAACAAACCATTAACTCAGTTAACGGGGAACAGATGGTAATTGAACGAAAAATAAACAAACGTTGAGGGGATAAACGCTGTCTGCTGAGGGTCGTGGTTGGTGGCTCAATTATGTAATAACAAGCCACCCAGTCGCTAATCAGTAGATCATTAACTCGTAAAATGTTGTCTGTAATACAATTTGCATTATTCTTGCATGAAATACATGGGTCATTTTGAGTAATAATTTGTTAATCTTCTTTCACATATTCCTAAAGTCAAAGTAAGTGATTATACAAACCTGAACATATAAGTAATCCGTTGCATATTTATTCTCATAGGGTTAAAGCAACGTTGCATATTTATTCTCAAAGGGTTCGAATACAAAAATAAAGTAATCGTCGAAGAAAAAGTTTTCCCTCGTTTTACAAATTCAAACTTTCAAAAAGGACAAATGTCGTTTAGTAATACCCCATAGACCATATATCTAAATATGGTCTATGAGTATACCAATTTGAATATTGCATAATAGTTTTTGATCAATCAAACATTGTTTCAGCTTTAGGCCATTTAATACTGCTATTTGCTTATAATGCTATTAAATATTAAACTACCTCCGTGGCCGAACGGTTACCATATGTGACTGCCACACAGAGGACCTGGGTTCGATTCCCGGGCCGGGAGAAATATTTGTATGGCCTACATTTATTTCTCTCTTGAGTTTGGGTGTAATTTGTCATTGTCCATGTGTATGTCCATGGCACACGCGCAACAGGGTTTCCCTAGTGCGGGGCTATGAGTGTGTGCGCGTTAAATACTGAAAATTTAAGGTCGCTCGTTTTATATGTCCAGGGGTGTTCAAAGTTTGTCATACTGAGAAAATGATAGAAAGCATGGCTGCTCAGTCATTTAAAGTATATAGGTAGGTAATTTGTTTATGTATACGGGTGATAAGTCGGGTAAATGGCAAGAAGTCAATGTACATCCATGACTCTGTTGGTCTTTATTTTGTTAAGTTTACACTTGGGCAAGGGCAAATGCAGAAAGGTACAGGAATTTGTGCACGTTTACGTAATCTGAACATTAATAACCTTATGCCTTAAAGTTCAAAAGTAGATTAGAGAATCTGGTTGAATATTGTCTGTCAGTAGACGGTGGGTTCTAAAATATTTTCGTGGGGTATTCATGCTTTTATATTACGGGTCGTATTCCAGAATTCTGCTCAATGCTCAAGTCAGGACTTGAGTATGATTTAAAGCACTAGAAATCATATTCAAGTCCTGACTTGAGCATTGAGTAGAGTTCTGGTATATGACCCTAAGTCAACTATTTTTTGTTAAATTTTTAAAGGGCTATTTGTGTAGCAAATTGTCGTAAGACCGCCAGTGTATGGTCATCGCGCTCATCGAACTATATGTTCTAAAGATAACGCTATAAATGACTTAAACAACATTACCAATGTTTGATTACATTTTCGTCCACGCATTCGGCAGAATAACATGATAGTTTGATAGACAAATTAATCGGTCATTGTAAAAAGCTTTTTTAAGTTTAATTTTTAAGTATGAAGGTGTTCGAAGTAAATAGCTGTTGTTTCTGTTGTCCACTTCGATGGGGGATTTTACTATTTGGATATATTAATATGGTAAGAACACCTTTAACAATTGATATGAACTTTCCCTTAACAATATATACTTATTTTTATTTTTATATCCGATATTTAGTTTTATTTTTATCCACCTTTAAGCAGGTAGGTATCGAAACATTAATCAATAACGATTACGTTTTGTGATTCTAAATTCCATTCATCATCCTATTTAAGAGCCAAACTCTTGTCGGTGTTGTTAATTAAATACCTTATTTTTCACTTTTTACCATTGACTTACAAATAAATGGACGACGGGTCTAATACAAAAACCACGAAAAAAATGTCCCAAGTCAACCTATTTAAACGTAGTGACATGTAAAGGAATATGAAAAAGCTAAAACGTTGAATTTAAATTGTAATGTCATCGCAGTACTGTCTAATTTTGCTTGCTTCGCTGTCAGTCGAACAAACGAAGACTAAAGCGTGAATGACGCTCTGTATACGATTTTAGCGCCCTATAAGTTCGGACACTTTTTAGCGCGGACCCGACGTCCATATAATTGTAAGTCAATGCTTTTCATAGACATATTATTAAAAACTACAATTTAAAAATAAGGCATTTAATTAATAACTTTTGTAACTGTAGTGAACAATACAGTGTTTTGCACTAATATTAGACATAATTGGTTGATGACTTTTACCATCTCAGTCAGCCGTGTCTATAGGATCCTTAGGGGATGGAAAAAAATAAAGGAACTCGAAACGTTGTTTTTTTTATACACAACAGGCAGATAACTCCATTCCACCTGATGGTTTCTTTGATAAAACAAAAATGTACGCGATTTAGAGCCGAAAAAATAGTTTCATTTTATATGTGTGTCATAATTAAATCTCTTTCAGGCATTTTCCATGTTGGCCGCTTTCACGCTAGCAGTGGAAATTGAAATACGGGAACGGTCAGGACGGACAGCAGTGGAATTGACCGGGGCATTTCTTTTCGCCATTTTCGGGATGAGCGTCATACTAAGCATTCTTCTCGTGTATGCTACTTATGAGGTATAATGATGCCAATGGGTATTTTTTATTTGTACCTTTTATAAGAACAACTTCAACTTAACGCCAAGATACTCTAGAGTCATCGTGTACATAACCAGAAATAGAAATGTAATAAGGGCCATCCGTCTCTGGCAACTCATCAGGTAAACGGACCTTATATCACTTTTAAATATGAACTCTCGTTTGCGCTGAAATCACAAATTATAAAACTGAAATAGTACAGCGCCAACAACTGACCTGTGTGTACGTCTCCGTATATTCCAAAAATATTCTGTATTTATTGTAATAAAGATAGTATCTCTAACTATGAGGGGATGTTCCATTCAGTGGAGTGGGAAAAACAGTAAAACATCTAATACAAAACAAACGGAATCACATTTCATCGGCAATTAAATATGAAACATATAATTTTGCAATTTTCGTCCATTATAGCAAAGCTCAAGTTAACCTGGTCGATTTGAAGTAAAACAATTGACGACACTCATTCGGGCTGGCCAACCGAAGCGCAGTTGTCACAGTAATTATTTGGCAGAATAGTTTTCAAACAAATTAAATGACATTTTGTCTCTATTTGTGGTTATATATTCGATGTCTAGAGTCAAGTTTTGGAACATGGTGGGCTTATGTAGAGTTGTCCCGTTGCCACGCAGAGGTCCCGGGTTCGATTCCCGGGCCGGGAGAAATATTCGTATGGCCCACATTTATATCTATCGTGGTGTAATTTGTGGTTGTCCATATATGTGTCCATGACATCCGCGACATAGAGTCGCGACATAGAGTCGGGCACACTAGTGCAGGTCTCTTAAAAAAAAAAAACGAATACTTCGTAAATACAATAGTAATCTACTTCTGTATTCCTATCAGCAATACTCATTGACCTTTTTTGCTTAAACTGTTCAATTTTATTGGTCAGTATCAAAATGATAAAAATTAACCTTTATTATCTCAGGTACGGTGCACTTTTGATTGAAAATTAAAGTCGTCTTAAAATATTTGTTTCTAAACGAGAAAGCAGATATTTTGGGATAGTTCGATCTCTATCATTATAAATATTTTTTCTGCTGATATTCATCTATCCAGTGCCATCTCTCCATACGTTTTATTGAAGAGCTAAGATAAACTTAAGTAGACTTTAATTAATAATGTTAAAAATTTCAGAAAGACAGAGTAATGCTGCGTCTATACAACATATATGCAGTGGCAACAGCAATGGCGACGGTCATACCCCTTGCTCTTTTGTTATACATGCATGAATATTTTGCCGCCACTGTTGCTTTCCTCGGTATTGGTGAGTTAATGAATTTAATTACTGACGCAAAGCACACGCAAATAGACGTCACGTTGAAGAGCCTGTTCACATCATACTAGGCTTCTGGTTCAAATTGGGTTCGAAGGACCAAAATGTAAGGTCCTATGAGTGCTGTTAACCCTGTTTTTATAATAACTAAGTGACGGGACGAACAAGTCGTGCGCCTGATGGTAAGCGACACGCCTGTCCATAGCAGTTGCAGTACCACTCAAAAGCTTTAAATCACAACAATTTGAGGGGCAACAATAAGTTAATAAAACTTCTGTTGTGTTGTTGTTCATGTTAATTCTTTGTAGAAAGAAAGTGTTTTGTTGAGTAGAAATGTGTGTGTTCATTTTGAGTGTTTATTTCGTACTAACTTATACAGTTAACACAGGTTATATGTTATGCAAGTAGAAATAGCTTAAAATACATAAATATGTAGAGCGTGCTCGTACATATATGTACATACACGGGCGGTTTGTAGGGTTTATAAGTCCGTGACTTTGAAAAGAAAATTTTTATTTCAAATTATGGTTTATTTTTCTATGTAATCTCCTTTTAACTCTATACACATTAACCAGTGATATGCCAACTTCTTCAACACGTCAAAAAAATATTTTTTGTCAAACTGTTCGTATTTTTTAACAGATTTTCTACTACCTTTAAGGTTTTTCTAGTGTGACGGAAGACAGAACAATGTTTTAATTAAATAGTCCTTTGTTATAATTATTAATACAAAGATCGAACACTCAGAAAAACACTC